TGGTCTCCGCATTATATCGGCTTAAATAGTTGAGTGAGTGGAAATCCTTACTCGTGAAAGGCAATTATAAAGTCGTTCTTGCTTAATGCGTTTGGGGATGTAATTAAGCACTATAGTAGGATATACACTTTTTATTAAATACTACTAACAAACATTTGATCTGCCTTCCATACCTAGATCAACTCATTTATTGTTATTGCTCAACGTTTATTTTAATGAGACTATCAATAAAAAGCGCACACCCGATGATGAAATTTGCATGTATTTTATATTCAAGTGAGGAAAAGGCTATCCCTATCACAATTCCTGTTGAGTTTTTGACGAGTTCCTGCTTTTTCTACATCTGATTAAATGTATGCTATAATGAACCACTAATTCCGAATACAGACGTAAGAGTAAGAAATATGGTTTATTTTTTCCCCTTTTATCTCGATTGTTAGCAAATTAAAAAAATTTACTGAGTCAATTTGGTGGGCCACAAAAATAAATTAAAATTCTATTTCTAATCTCAACAATTTTATTTCTATTTATCCGGGAACATCATCTGGGCTATTACCGGAATATCTGGTTTGCAAAAATCAAATAATATACTATCGATATAAAATTATATTTAAGAAATCATTCCAACTAGGCAATATTTTGTTTTTTATCGGATTGCCTTCATTTTAAACTTTATTTTGCATTTTTAGATTGTTTACTTTTTTAATTATTTTCCTTACATTATTTAAAGCTAGCTCTCATAATGCGCAAAAGACGCTTTCTATCAGGCTCTCTTATTCTAACTCAAGTAAAGCCTAGTTTCTCCCTTGAAGAAACGAGTTGGCCTATTAGTGTTAGTCCCTATATATCAAAACCAAGTCATTGGCTCGTAGAAGAATGGATGCTTGCAGCCAATAGGGCCGTTGCGGAGTTTTTGGCTAGACGTTTACCTAACCTGGCTTTTCTACGTCGGCATCCGGCGCCATCTGGTAAGCAACTGAATGACGCCAAGAAATTGATTGCAGCTTCTGGACTCAACCTTATCGTTGAGACAGCCGGCACCATACAGGTAAGTTAACATTATGAAAATAACATCTAGAAACAAGTCTGATGCTAGTAAAGTGTGGTATACTATAATTTTACTACATAAGGAACTATCATAATTATATTAAAAATTATTACATCGGAAAATCTATATTATGCAGTCCAAATTACATGCTTATTATTCTTAATAAAATCCTTGAATTTATACGCTTAGTTCTAAGAAATGTGTCTTGCATACTTATAATTGCTCTAGAACTATCCATATGGAGATATGGTATTTATATGTGCATTAATATTAAGTAACATGATAATTTTTATTCGGGGTATGACTGAGCGTCATTAGGAAAGATCTAAGTTAATGAACTTCTTTGGATATCAAAAAATGCATCATTGTATTGCC